TCCTCGGCACAGGCTTCTGGTGGATGCACCTTGCCAAGTTTTGAACTAGGGACCCCGAAATACCGGTCGGAGCCCCCGGCACTTGCCAGACGGAGCACGCTGCTGGCAGCTATCATTGGAAATGCTGAAGCTCTCCTCGTGCAGGTTTTTAAAAGGCCACTGTTTATGCATGTAAATTCTGAAGGGCATTAGCGGCATCGCTGACACACACTGACAGCCAGCCCAGCTCCGGGAAGGGAATAAGCAGCAGTGACTGCCTGAATAATTGATGTGCTTTTACTCTGCCCCATGGCCCAGTTATTACATTGCTCACTCTCCTCAACTGCCTGTGGTTTCTAAATTAATTAGAAATCTTAATGTCATGGCCAGCCGGTTAAAAAGAAGAAAAAAAAAAAAAAAAAAAAAAAAAAAGAAAGGCACCAAGAACAAAGAAAGGGAGTGCTTCTCCTGCCCTTGAGCCTCAGATCTCTTACTCTGGCCTGGCCACAGAGGGAATAAAAGCACAGTATCAATTTCTGAAGCTGTGGACCCCACTCACCAACGCTTACAGCAGCACAGCATGGAATCCACTCCACCTGCAAAAAGCCCCCGTTTCGTGGGGTTGAACATCCCCATCAAGGTCACCTCTCCCATAAGATGGAACGAAGCCTTTCGTAGGGGATGGCACCCGTGCAGGCAGCTGGCATCTCTTCAGGACCATGAAACAGGACTCACACCTCCCTAGCCTAGCCACTGCAACCCTGAATGACAGGGCACTGCTGAAGTCTGGAGGAATTAATGGTCTGAAGCTGTGGCAAGGGAGGTTCAGATTAGATATTAGGAAGAATTACTTTACTGAAAGAGTGGTCAGGCCCTGGAAGGGCCTGCCCAGGGAGGTGGTGGAGTCACCATCCCTGGAGGTATTTAAGAAACGTGTAGACATGGCTCTTCAGGGCATGCTCTAGTGCCCAAGATGATTGGTTTGTGGTGGGGTGTTGTGTGTGGGGTTGTGGGTGTGGGGTTTAGTTGGTGGGTGGTGGTTTTGGGTTTGTTGTTGGGGGGGGGTGTTGTTTGTTTGGTTTTGTTTTTTTTTTTGTTTTTTTTTTTTTTATGTGGTTGGACTCGATGATCTCGGAGGTCCCTTCCAACCACTAAGATTCTGTGATTCTGTGATTCTGTAATTACAGAGCTTGTGGCTGCCCTGCTCTTACAGCCAACAGGACTAAATGGCTCTGTGGGATCCCTTTCACAGGCTTAAAAAAAATTGTGTACAACCACCTGACCTCACAGTATGGGAGAAGTTGATAAAAATGACACGTGGATCAAATATAACAGCGTGAGTGGCCATTTCTTTGCTACATACATAACCTTATCTACTTACAATATTGCCTGTGCTTAAACTTTAAAACAACGTCTGCAGCTTTTAAGAAACCAAGTGGAAATAACTGCTCTGTTTGAGACACATTGCCTTAAAGCGCAGGCAGTTTCATTCTAAGTCATAAAACCATAGAATCGTTTAGGTTGGAAGGGACCTTTAAGATCGTCTAGTCCAACCATCAACCTAACTCTGATTAAAAAAAAAAAAAAACCACAAAAGAAAACCACACAAAAAAAACATACAAAAAATACCTCCCACATTACTTTGAAAGCACTTAGCCGTGACGAGTCTGGGGGTACTATTAGTTTCTTACTTGCAAAAAGAAGTACTGATTTTTTTAAAAAAATCTCTTTACAACCGTATCAAAACCATAAATAAACATAAATGACTGGATTTGTTGAGATCATTTTAAATTGCACAAATATCTTAGGCTACTATTCCACCTGCTTATAAAAGGACAGGGCAATACCAGTGGAACTCAAGAGTGCAGCACAGTCCTCTTTGCCAACACACCACGTCTTACTGTAACCTGCAGGATACTGAGGGGGAGAAAGGCATAAACCACCTTTCTATTATTCCTTTTGGGAAACTAATGATTTTGAAGAAATTGGACTTTTTGACATGGATAAACAGACTTATATTCAAAGCAATGAATTATTTGAGTCCCCACTAAAGATTTTCTGCATCACCTGTACATGTTAAATGCCCAAAAATGACAGTCCCAGGGCAGAGAAATGAGCTGACAATGGTGACAATGTAAATTACACTGTAAATCCTAATGGAAGTATCCAACAAAACGAATCCCATTGGTTAGGACACAGAAAGTGATTCAAAGCATTGTGAGTCCAAAACTACAGGAGAGTATGGTTCTCCAAAAACTTGATGCATCAAGTGTTTATTTGCTCCTAGAGCTTCTCCCTTTATTTGCTACTTTTCCCCTCCTTCATAATTTTGCATTAAATTGATGCGTGCAGATTCCACCACAAAAGAAAAAAAAAAATACAAAAGGATCAAAGCAAGTGGCAAATTTAAGCCATTTCAGTATGTTTCAACATCCTTACTGAGAACTGAGGTGGCACTTCCATTTGTAGGGCTCCCAGCAAACAGCAATGCTGATGGGTGAGGAAGGCAGCATCGGTCCACCGTAGGACTTGTTTGTGTTTGTCACCTTGGCTCACACACTGCCTCTGAAATGCACCTGCTAATTATCAGCACTGCAGATGTACTGAACACAAGATGTCAGTCACATGCATTTTTCAAACCCAGGCAATGAATGAAATGAAATGTTTTGTGAGAACATGTTACATGTTCACACAGAAGCTTTCCTGACCCTTGCAAAACCTTCTACCTGCATCTCTTCATGGCTGTGTGTGTAGATTTTACTATGCTTGCTTTGATATACTTAAATCACAGAATCACAGAATCGTAGTGGTTGGAAGGGACCTCAGAGATCATCGAGGCCAACCACAAAAAAAAAAACAAAAAAAAAAACCACAAACCACCACCCACCACCTAAACACACAACAAAAACCACCAAACCAAAAACCATCACCCACCCACACAGCACCCCACCACAAACCAGTAATCTTGGGCACTAGAGCATGCCCTGAAGAACCATGTCTACACATTTCTTAAATACCTCCAGGGATGGTGACTCCACCACCTCCCTGGGCAGGCTGTTCCAATGCCTGATAACCCTTTCAGTAAAGAAATGTTTCCTAATATCCAACCTGAACTTCCCCTGGCGCAACTTGAAGCCATTACCCCTTGTCCTGTCATCTGTAACTTGGGAGAAGAGACCGACCCCCGTCTCTCTACACCCTCCTGTCAGGTACTTGTACAGAGCACCTGTACAAGGTGTACCCAAATGAACAGTCCTTCACGTTATATATTTCCTTTTTCTCTCCATACTGTGGCACCTACATACATCTCATTTGGAAGCTTTTATATTAATGATTACAAAAACTAACTGAAAGACTCATACAGATTCCTCTAGGTTATCCGCAGTAATAAAGAAGCCACACACAAGCTTTAAGGCAGACGTGGAGTCCTGACCCCTCTTCTGATCACCATACAACTGGAAGGTTGCACCAGCTGAAGCAGGACCACCATTCTTCACCACTGCCATGCCCTCCTCCTTGCCTAATTTCTACATCACTTGTCTCCAGGAAGGAGCAAAAAGTGCAAAACCACAAAAGGTCCTGCTCGCCTCTCAGCCTCGAGAGAATCACAGAATCACAGAATCTTAGTGGTTGGAAGGGACCTCTGAGATCATCAAGTCCAACCACAAAAAAAAAAAAAAAAAAACACAAAACCCCAAAAACCCAAAACAAACCACCCCCCACCCCCTAAACACACAACAACAACAACCAAACCAAAACC